TGGCTCCGCCCCCGGGGGGTCCCGCCCCCTCCTGGGCACCCGAGGGGGGGACCCAGGGGGGGACCCGGGGGGGACCCAGGCGTCCGGGGTCAATCGCGAGCACAGGACACGCGATATCACGTGATATCACACAAGAACACGTGATAACATGCTATAACACACGATAACATGTGATGACATGTTATAACACGTGATAACATGTGATAACACGGGATGACATGCGATAACACAGGATAACACACGATAAGACACACTAGCCCACACTAATACACCATAACACGCGATAACATGTGATAACACATGGCAACACACGATAACATGTGATAACACACAATAACGCGCTGCATGTGATAACACGCAGCCAGCAATAACACACAATAACATGTGATAACACAGAACAGCATGCGATAACACGCAGCAACACACGCTAACACGCGACGTCATGCGATGATACGCAGTGACACGCAACAACACGCAATGACATACGCAAGAACACGCAAGGACACGCAGTAACATACAATATGAGGTGATAACATGCGACCCCAAGACATGCAACAACACGCAACGGCATGCCACAACATGCTGGGCCGTGCCATGCCACGCCGTAACACACTATGACATGTCATGACACGCTACAACATGGCTTGCCATGCCATCCCACGCAATGACGTGCCATGACATGCAACATCACGGCATGACATGCAGCACCGTGCCGTGACACGCAACGACACACTGTGACAAGCTATAACATGGCATGCCATGCCATTACACATGCCATGACATGCCTTGACATGCCACGCCACCCCATGACACGCAACAACACGCCATGACACACCACAACATGCAACGACATGCCATGACACACCATGATATGCAACAACACGCGGTGACACGCCGTGCCATGACACCCCACATCATGCAATGACAGGCCATGACACACCATGACACATGACAACACGTCGTGACACACCACAACACCCCCCGACACGCCCCGACACGCCGTGACACGCCCCAACACGCACCTGTGAGCCGCTCCTCCCCGGGCTCCGGCGGGCAGCACCTACAGGACCCCCCATAGATCTCAGCCCCATAGACCCCCCCGACCCCCAGCTCCATGTGTGTGCCACGTACACACGCGTGTAGCCACACGTGAGCTGAGCACGTGTGTCCATCTAGAAGCACACGCCATTTCCACACGTGCCTACGCGGTGCCCCTATAGCTCCCCATGTGTCTATAGGCCTGTCCATACGCCCACCCACACCCCCCTGCACACGCCTGGCGACCTGTACATACATGCAATTAGCATGTGCGTGGATTTAGTCACCTATACGTACATACAAACACGCCTATACATGCATGTACACACCCACAGGTGGATATAGACATAGACAGACACACACGCATACATATCTATACATACATGCACATACATCGACATACATGAACATACGTGTCGGCCCTATATACCCCTATAGATGTCTATATCCACCACAGA